TGCAGAGCTCTAAGCAAACTTTTCCTACTCAGCGATTTGCAAGTCATGTCTCATATAAATTTAAGTCATTTGCCTTAAAAATGTTAAATGAAAGCCAAAATTAGAATTTTTTACAAAACACAAAACTTTGAAAGCACCAGCTATAAAATCTGAAAAAGCCTATTAACTTGTATGAGGATAACAACTTAGTGTGAATTCTGTTTCTCATTCCCAATAGAAACTTGGAAGTGACCTCAGATTATCTATTCCTACACAGACTTTCTTAAAGATAGCTGGAAGCAGTATCCACAGCTTCTGGGGTGTACTGTTTCAACATTTGATGGCCTTAATAAGTCAGATTTTCCATCCTGCTCAACTGAAATACCTTATGTTTGAATTGAAGCTCACTTCCTTGTTTGGTCTCCTACTAACAATGAAAACAGATTGTTAGTATTCTCTTATAAAATAAATAAGTAAACAAAGTAGCTTTTCTTTTCCAGAGGAGTGTTTTATGTATTTTTGCTGGCATTTCTAATGTATGTATGAGAGCTTTCTTAAATTAATGGTGAAAGTTACCATAGATTGTTTTTATTTTGTTCTGAGGGTATACTAATAAAAGACAAACAGATGGACAGGGTCTCATTATCCTAGATGTAGTGAGTCCATAAGGCAGCTCCTGAGTTCTTATTTGTTAGTAAACTTAACTAAATGCATTGCTTTGTTTCCCGTCTCTTCCTCTTATTAGCACCTAGAAGCTGTCTTCTTTAAGGCATTTTTTTTGTTACAGTCATCCAGTTTATGCCTCTTGAGCCTTGCCATGTCCTATGCTAGAACTGACCACCAAATTTCTTTTAGCCTCAAAAAATGTCTGGAATTCCATTTATGACCCAAAATGTATTACACCCAACTAGAATCATTAAATTTCCTACTTTATGCATTTCCATATGAACATATAATCTCAATATATTATCTTTTTCTTTGCATCTCTTGCAAAATAATGTATATATTTTAAAGTGTGTTTTCAGGATGCAATCAGTTAATCTTCTACATGGCAGCTTTATTTCAATGAGTTTATTTTATAGCGTCTCAGTTCTGCTAAAAATTATGTTTAAGCGTGTTGATTGTAGTGCCATTTATAATATAAAATGCTAGAAACAGTTGCAATTACTTTTTGTTTTTGTTTTTGTTTCTGAGACAGGGTCTCACTATATAGTTCATGCTGGCCTTGAACTCAGCTATGTATCCCAGGCTGGCCTTAAACTAGCTGCCATCTTCCTGCCTCACCCTGTCAGCTGCTAAGATTACAGGTGTGTGCAACCACACCTGGCCACAATTTCAATTAATTATTAATCAATAATGGACTAAATAAGTTGCAGTATATATACTGAAATATCATTTAACTGGCCTTCAATAAATGTAGGTTTTATTTTGTTTGTTTGTTTGTTTTTGTTACCGGGGATCAAACTTAGGACCTTGTGCTTTTGAGACAGGAGGCATAACCACTGAGCTAAATCCTCGGCCCCAATAAATGACTAAACAAAGAAATTTACTGTTACATGGAAAAGTACAAAGTGCAGAACAATATACACTTTGTGCAAGTAAAAAGATGTATATATGCATAGAGTATACATGCCTTGATACATACAGCATTTCCAGAATCATACAATAAACTGGTAATATTAATCACCATGGTAATAGTATAGAGTGGAAAGCATGATACTTATTTTTATACTCTGAGTGGGAAAAATAGAACAAAGCAAAACCTTAAATGAAGACCTAGCCAAATAAAGTGATTGGGGAAAAAAATGCTGTACCTTCATAGATTATTTCCTCCTTATATATAGAACTTCTACTCCAGACCTCATTATCCTCTGTTTTTGCTTTTGTGTTCTGCTGCCTGTTCAGAAATACCTTCTCTTCTCTTGCACAAATAAATCTTTCTTCTTTACAAAACTAAGGACTAACCCCTTCATGAAACTTTACTGGACTTCCATTTCACAGAAATCTGTCTTTTAAATACATGCTTAGTGCATATTCAGTTTCATATTATCAATTATTCGTTCAGTAATTAATTTTATATAATCAATTTTATTATGTATTTTATTAATATATGTTTGTAGTACATAATGATTATGTTCCTTATGGGAAGTTAGTACATATACATAGTATATCTTAAATCTGTTTTTAAATCTTTCTCCTCCCCTCTCTCATTTTCTTCCCTCCATCTCATGGTCCCCTTCCCATATCCAAAAGCTCTATCACACTATTTCCTATTATCTTTCTTTTACTTTTCCTCTTCATCCATATGATGAGATACTTATATAGGAGAAACCTTACAATATTTAAGTTTGAGTCTCTGATTTATTTTACTTAACATTACGGATTTTAGTACATCCATTTTCCTACACATGCCTCAAGTCTGTCCTTCCTTGTATTAGAGTACCACTCCATTCTGCATAAATGCCACATTTTCTTTATCCATTCATTTGTAGATGGACATATAGGCTATTTCCAAGATTTAGCTATTGTGAGTTATGCTGCTATAAGCATAGGTATGCATATTTAACTATAATATGATGTCTAACTCAGGAAGATAGCTCAGAGGGGAAGCAGAGTCCAGTAGAATTTCTTGTTTTAGTTTTTTAAGAAATTCCATGCTAATTTCCATAATGGTTGTATTAGTTTATCTTCCACCAACAGTGTAGAAGCCTCCCCACCTCATAGCCAACATTTGTTATCTAATTTCTTTTTTATCTTCTTTTATTTTTGTAGTTGTTACATTACTTCTTGATGATAACCTTTCTGGAGTAAGGTAAAATACCACTGTTGTTTTAATTTACATTTCTCTAATGGCCAGAAATGTTGAACATTATTAATATATTATTGGTCATTTGTACTTATTCTCCTCAGAACTATGTGTTCATTTCAGCCACCTGTTGGATTGGCTCTTTTATTTTGAAGGGTCTAATTTTCTTTCAATTCTTTATATATTGTAGATATTAGTTCTCTGTCTGAAGGATATCTGACAGAGATTTTTTTTTTTCCATTCTGTAGGTTGTCTCTTCACTCTGTTGGTTGTTTCCTTTACTAAATTTCATATGATCTCATTTATTGGTTCTTGGTATTATTTCTTGTACCATTGAGATTCTGTTTAGAAAGTTCTTGCCTATGCCTGTGACAAAGAATTCTACCTATTTTATCTTCCAGTAGATTAAGTGCCTCTGTTTTAATTAGTTTAGTTTTTTGAACCACTTTAATTTTAGTTTAGTACATGGTGAGAGATATGGATGTAGATTCAGTCTTCTGCATCTGGATAGCCAGTCACCATTGTTAAAGGCTGTATTTCCTCCAGTGAAAGTTTTTCGCCCCTTTGTCAAAGACCAAATAGATGAATGTGTTTGGAGTTGTTTCTGAATCCTCTATTCTGTCCTATTGATCCACATGCCTGAGTTTTTGCCAACATCATGCTATTTAGTTGTTATTGTTGTTGTTGCTTGTTTGTTGTTTGTAACTATAACTTTATAGTACAACTTGAAGTTCAGGATTGTAATGCCTCCTGCCTTGCTCTTGTTGCCTAGGATTGCTACTCTAGTTCTCTTCTGGTGTCCACTTAAATTTTAGGATTTTTTTTTCCTCTAGTTCTATAAGGAATGCTGTCAGTATTTTGATAGAGAATTGTGTTCTATCTATGTATCTGTTTTGGAAGTATGGCAATTTTGACAGTGTTGGTTCTGCCTATCAGAATAGGATATATTTCTATTGTCTGATGTCCTCTTTGATGCCCTTTTTCAGAATACTCTAGTCTTCCTTATAGAGATTTTTCACTTACTTGCTTAGGTTAATTCCCAGTGTTTAATTTTAACTCTATCCTTAACCCTAACCCCATAAGCCATGAGCCAGGGACAAGGTCTAGATTGTTTATTCTTTTCTCTGCATTATGGTCTATCTCTCCAACTTCTCTGTAGCTTTCAGTTTTCCTGTCAGTTCCTTCCTAAATCTCTGTGAAGTACTATTATTTTTTTTCTTCACCAAGTTGTTATTTTCCAGTATCGGGATTCCAGATCTTGGAGAGGCTGAATTTTGCTGCTGATCACCACTCCACCATTTTCTCCTCTCCATTTTTTATTTCCACTGTATTTGAGTAGAGATTTAGAGAATATTCATTGTTTCTGTTGTATTTGATTTATATAGCACCTAGCATTATCAATAAGTGTGTTAAAGAATTTTTTTCTTTAATAATGTTAGTTAAAACTTAAATTTGGGGTTGGGGAAATGGATTTCTGGTAGACTGCTTGGTTAACCTGTAGGAAGTCCCAGATTTGGTCCCCAGCACTACAAAAAAAAAAAAAACACCTTAATCTCAAAGGACTGAGGAAATAACTTAGTAGTGTAGGACTTACCTAACATGCATGAGGCCATGAACTCAATCCCCAGTACAGAGGCGGAGGGGCTTTTGAGGGGAGTTTGTATGTATGTCTGTATGTTCATGTGTGCATGTCTGTGTCTGTTTGTATAAGTACATTTAATGTCATTGGTTTTAGAAATAAGGGCATAAAACTATAACAAAGAAGCACAGTTTATGACTTACTGTAGAGAAATAGTCTGTTTAATCCAATATATGTGTTTGAAAGATGAGAAATTAAGATATATAAACTCAAGCAGTTCCTACTAGTTTACAATGTGAGTCATAAGTTAGTTCATGTCCAACATTTTTCCCAAACTCTGCCCACTGTTTTCTCCAATATAATAGTCTTTTGAAAATACATCCTGTGTTTGAAACATAATTTTAAGCTGTCAGTCTTCACCTTTTAGAATCCTTATTATTCAACCATCCTCTTCATTCTATTTTTTTGTTACATAAGTAGTATTGTTAATCTTGCTGTTAACAGAGGTAAAAAGAAATTATTTACAAGTGCATTTTAGAATAATTAACATGCTGTGGGACTTTATAATTCCATATTAGACCAAGAAAAGGTAACAGTTCTCTTAATATAACTGAGATTTTTCCCCCTTTTTTTCAGTTTGTTTTCTTTGCTATCTAAAAAACATAACAAAGTTCTGGAACAAGCTACACAGTCCTTGAGAGGTTCACTGAGTTCCAGTGATGTTCCTCCACCAGATTATGTAAGTAGTTACCTTATCTCATTGATAAATTTTTTCCTTTTATTGTTACATTTATAATAACATTACTGTTCTCAAAATTTTTGCCTTCAGAAACCTCTACTATGCAAATAAAGGTGTCAAGGGAAAATTTTTTTTAATCATTGTCAAATGATTGAAGAAAAAACTGTAAAGCAATAGTTATTAATAATGAGGAATCCTAATATCTGAGTCAAACCCACTCTAATTACACAAAAATGAAAGGAGGGATTTTATAGTAAGTATACAAAGATTTCTCACTGAACCCAGTGGAGTAGGAGGGAAGTACACCTGGATATCACAGAGAACTATAACCTAAAATTGAAAAACCATGAAGTTCAGGAATACCCTGTTACTGAGGCCCATTGTGTTTCTGAACTTTATTCTATTTTGATTCTCCTGCTGCTTTCTATTAGGCAGGTTTCTCTCTGCTCACTTGAGTGTAAGATAGCATTTCCAACTTTTTTTCCTGCCACGCCAAAACATGTCTTTGTGACATGGATGGGCTTTAGCTAGCCCATCAGTCTTTTAAGTCCCAGTTGTCATTCGTGGGTAAAAGAATCCAGTTGGCTCTTGTCTTACTAATATGGGACTATAAATTTATTAGCCATGGTCAGAAGAAAAGTACTGTAACATGTTGCCTTTGTTCCACCCACTTTAAAGATAATTCCTTACTACCATCTGACCCTGGAGTATGCTGATGGAATGCAATAAAAGCAGCACAGGTGTGAACCTTGTACACTGATAGGAAAGAGAGTGCCTTAGGAATCTCGCTAGGGCTGGTCTCCCTATCTGTGACATTTCTTAAACTTTAGAACATGGCTTAAATTGGAGTGCTAAAAATTATCTTGCCACAGAACAAGTTCATGAAATTCTAATTGAGGCCTCACTGTATCACCCAACAATTTAGTAGGTTGATGTTTAGAGAATTTTTATACTCATTGTTTGAAATGGCAGTGCACTCCAGAGAGTTGAAGAGTTGTTTTTCTCGTTTCCTGTGGTTTTTGTTTTGTTTTGTTTTGTTTTGTTTTCTAAATGGTTGTGCTGATGGGAGACTATGGGAATAGCACCCAGTCCGGATTATCAGTCACCAATAAACAAAGATAGCTGTGTATAGCCACAACCTGACTGCTGGTATTTTTCTCCTGTTTTATTTTATTTATTTATTTGTTTGCTTATTTATTTATTTATGTTTGGTACCAGGGATCAAACTCTGGTCTTTGTGCTTGCAAGGCAGGTGGTGGAACCACTAAGCTATATCCCCAGCCTTTTCTCATGTTTTATATATTTTTGTATGTATGAGTCTCCATGTATGCTAGACTGTGAAAGCATTTGTCAACCCATTAAGATATTAAGTTGATATTTCCAGAAAGTATTTCTAAAGCTTTCTTGCTAAGTAGAATATTCCTTTTTTTTTTGTATCGGGGATTGAACTTGGGTCCTTGAGCTTGCAAGGCAGGCCGCCGAACCACTCAGCTAAATCCCCGGCCCCTAATAATTTTGTTTTGTTTTTTGTCCATTTTTTAAAATTAATTTAACAGCTCATTTAATTCTGACTTACTTTGATTTGTGATAAGGTAAAAACTCTTTCTGATACCTCTTTGAAGACCTCAGGTGAAACAAGATGGCAGCAGGGAAGTATGTTGCAAATAACTTGAATTTGGTTCATCTTTGTTTTGTTACTTTTATATCATTGTTATTTAATTCGTATATTTTTTGATCATTTATTCCGCAAAAAAGTATTCAATTTATTTAGTACTGAAATTGCCCAAGCAGTATTTTTCTTTAATCAGTAGTCCATAAAATTTATATTTCTTAAAGGAAATGTCATATTTAATGGTATTTGCCAATCAAGGAGATGATTATGCAATGATAGGACAATTTGAATTTGTCACAGATATTTGAATGCTATTATTGAACTTTATAATTTTTAGCCATTATTTGACTTTTTCTTTCATGAAATTTCCACAAAACAAAAATTAAATTTCTAAGAATACTAGAAAAATTTTGTTTGAAATCTATCATTAACAGTCCTTATTTTAACTTTTGTGTTTATGAAACTTGGAAAACCCAATATTTTCCAAGTAGATGTATGAACTTGAGTTTTGCTGCCTTTCTTTGGCATTAATTGTGACTTATTACTCTCTGTGCCTTGGATCTGCAAGGTGATTAAAGAAAACAGCAGTAATCTTAAAAATAAGCACTGCAACATATTCTTTCATGATAACTGTTTTATTGCTCACTTTCTTTGCTCAAAATATATAAGTGTATAAGTGATTTGCCCATTTGAAATCACTCTTGTTCTCTTTTAAATTAGTCATTATCTGGGAAAAATTAGTATTTTCCTCCATTTATTTATTTATTTATTTTGGTTTTTTGAGACAGGGTCTCACTGTAGTTGAGATCATTATCTGGGAAAAATTAGTATTTTCCTCCATTTATTTATTTATTTATTTTGGTTTTTTGAGACAGGGTCTCACTATGTAGTTGAGACTGACCTGGAACTCACTATGTAGCCCAGGCTGGTCTCGATCTCACAGCGATCCTCCTGCCTCAGCCTCCCCAGTGCTGGGGATTACAGCCGTGCACTACCACACCCAGCTTAAAATTTTATTCTTGATTTATTAAGTATCTTTGCCAGCAGTCACATAAAGTTTTGTATCATAAACTAATGCTTTAAACTACTTGTACATAAAAGAAGGAAAAGGAAAGAAAGCATCTTAATGCAGCTGTGAATTCCCAGATACACACTTTCTGTACCAAGATTGAATAAACTGTATTAGCAAAGAGTTTGAGTAAGTGCTTAGAAATGATGTGTTTCTTTTCACTGTAGTGCATAGAGTACTTTGAATCTACCTAGAGGTTTCTGAGTTGATTAGGAAAATGTTTATACTCATTACACTATATAATTCACAAGTCAGTGGAGTAAAGATGTAGAAAGCAAATTGCAAGTAACAAAAACATTAGTATTAGTACTTTAGTACAACCATTTTTGTCTGAACCTCTCAGGGGAAACCCTTCAGTGAAGTTTTAGATAATAAGGAAACTGCCCTGGCTGCTTAAGGGGAAATAAAACAAAAACTGTCCTCTAGTCTTCTGTGGGGAGAAAGAATGCTCACGATAGAGAATGCTGCTACCAGGACTGGCAAGTTCTTAGTTGACTTGCCCATGCTTTACTCTCTTCATATCAGGGTTTCATAAACTTTAATTCAGTAACTGGAAGCACAGAATTTTTAAAGGAGAATCTCAACAGTTTTTTTAAAAAAATAAGAATGTACTTTTAGACAACCTTGGTTAGTTGTTACAGAACCTGAGTATGGAATATGAAAACAAAAATACCAAGTAAGTTGTCACTGCTTTTTAAACTATTATCATGGTTTTAAAAGTAATAATATTGTCCCAGTGTCATATATGCTTTGTTTCCCTTATTTCTGACAATCATTTTAGCAACTATTTGAAATGAGAAGAGTCTAACTTTTATTCTAGATGCAACCATAGCAATGAAATTATGTTACTCTTTGTTCATCAAAGAGCTTTCATATTTTTCTGTAGGGCTGACCTGTCATCTGACTTCAAAAGTTGAATGCACATGCATAAGACAGAAAGACGCTGGCCAAAAAGAATAAGGAGCCAGAATTAGAAAAACTGAGGAGTATCAACAGTAGCTAATGTGCTCACTTCAGCAGCACATATACTAAACAGTAACTAAAGATTTATCCTTGACTTGCTAAGCAAGCATAATGCTACCTTCCTGTGCAGATACATATTCAGCGGTTCTCCACATCTCATTTTTACTTTTTCTCTCATAGCTGTACTTAAGCATTGTCCAGAGGCTACACAATGAATGATAGTAGTTGCTCTGACAGCTAACAAAATGTATGTTTTTACATTCTTGTGTTTTAAGTTTTCCTCGTTTTAATTTCTATTATAGTAAATATCAATACACATAATCCACATAAAATAGCTTTTTGAGATTTTTAAGAGTATAAAGCTGTCTTGAGACCAGAATGTGGCTGTTGGAATGTATGAATTCTCAGACACATGCAAACATCCTCCCCAATTAAGTATACAGGTATACTATCTTATTTTGTGTAATTATTTCTCAGCCAGTAGGACTGAATGCTATTTAAAGGCGTAGCAATTGTCATATTATAAGCTTAAAAAAATAGACTGCATATTAACCAGTCTATAAAGAAGGACAACTAAATGCATTTTTACACTTTAAGGAGTGTCCTGAGTTGATAAAGGCTTAAATTTCAGTCATATATGTGTGATGTGCAATTAGAATTGTTTGATCATTCTCTCTAGTCAAAGATTAATTTCTTACATATAGTGGACATGGGTAATTTCTATGATAATTATTAAATTTTCTTATTGTTGAATGATGTGAATGTGAAAATTGCTTCCCATCTGCTGATGCCCTCCTTTGCTGTGCAGAAGCTTTTTTTTATTACCACATAGCTATTAAGAGATAAAAGCATGATTCCAACCCAAGTGTAGCAACTCCAGAGTTTTTGGTTCTCAAATGGGGAAACTGCCTTAAAGGTTTGTGTTGAAAAATCTGTAATTCTAATGGGTTTTCCTGTATAAGGAATTTGTTTCTCTTCTCTAACAACTTTTAAAATTCTGTTCTTGTTAGATTGATATTTTGACCATGAATTTTTGGGGAGTTATTCTTTTCTGATCATCACTATTAGAGTTTTATGTGCCTCACTTATCTATATATTAAATTCTTTTTTCATGTTTGGAAAGTTTCCTGCTATTCTGTAAACAAGTTTATTATCCCCTTTCATTTTTCACTAATTCTAATTCATGTCACTAATTCCATTCATCTCGTGGCTGTTGGATCCATTTTTCATGTTCTGTTGCTTTTAATATATATATATATATATTTTTTTTTTGAGATAGGGTCTCACTATATAGTTGAGACTGACCTGGAACTCACTATGTAGCCCAGGCTGGTCTTGAACTCACAGTGATCCTCC